ATGCCACTGCCACTGGAAACAGTCAATTTACATGAACAACACGTGCTATTTTAGAATTCTGGAAATACATGTACTTTAGGTATGCTAAAGTGTGTCGAAACTAGCTTGGAAGATTTTTATTCATGCCGAAGCCATGTGCCTGCCTCCCAAAGTTGACGAGACCGAGTAGACTTGGGACCAAGTTGACCTGAGATGGAGTTGACTCGGAGCGAGTTGATTCCAGACCAAGTTGGCGACTTCACACTGACGCGACTGATGAGTTTCCAGTGTGTTTACGTGGCCATGTTTCGCCGGACCCTCTCTGAATCTTTAAAAAGGCAATTTGTAGAGTTCAAGTTGCTCAGACTATTATCAACAGATCTACAGATTTAGATTTATTATTTCTATAAATCGCGAATTTGGGACTGATAGTTTCCAGTTTGTGGTATTTCTTTCACAAAAAGCCCCAAATTGTGGACTTATTTTGGATAGAGGCGGGCAGCTACATTCAGAAATGAGCGCTTAGTTTTTATTGCTATTTTGGGGTGTCTTTGTTCAAAGGAGAATAAAAAAATTTGTGGCTAACCCCCATGAAACTGAAACAAAAAGTGATCTTCTGGCCTTAATCTCTTCACAAGAGTCAACAGGTGACGCTATTTCGGTCCTATTTCGCACTGTTTTCAATTGGCGCGAATTTTCTCCTAATTTTCCATTTTGTCATTTTTTTGCAGAAACTAAAAGAAATCAAAAGGGGTTAGCCTAATACATTTTAATTTAACAAGGTAAAAATTTAAATTTTGCCACATCTAAAAATTGGCCCTTTTTTGTCCAAAAATAACTGAATTTGCAAGGGGTTAGCCTTACATTTTAATTTAAATTGGTCAAACTTTGAATTTCCTCTGAATCTCAATTTTGTCAAAAATCTTTATTATTGTCTATTCACATTCAAATGATTAAAAGATACTGAAAAACCCTTTCAGGTCAGTACAACTTAAACCAACACAACAAACAAGTATAAATTTCGAAATTTCAAAATGACTTGCAATATTTATGTACATAAATACAATGTTCAAATCCGTGCTATTTATGGTTAATTTCTTACTGGGATCCTTAACTGAAAGCATGAATCATTTAAGCCAGCCTTTACATTGTACATGTACTACAAATTGTTATGCATTTTATGCAAGATGAGCAAGTGTACAATTCTGGTATGGTATGATCAAAGAAAGAAAATCAGTATTAAAATAAGCCAATCTCCCTTGCACCCACCAATGATACTTAGAGCTGGCCCTGAATGACATCTTTTCAAGCCTTTTACAGATTGACATTTTAACAGTGACTCCCAATGATTCTGTGTGTGCACACTGCACATTCACAGGTGCATTGGGACAATGGCGCAACAGTCTCAGATGTCAATGAAATTGGCCAGTTTTAAGAAGAGGACACCTTCCCATCAAAGGCTTGGCTTTTCTTGTAAAGACTTTGCTTTTAATAGTAGGAGTTACATTTACCACAGCAACATAGGAGGTTGGCCATTGATAACTTCTCTCAAAGATAGCATTTGTTTGTAGTAGTGTGCCATGCATAGATTCCAGCCACCTTTTCAGATTACACGAGCACTTTAATCTTTTTTTTTTTCAATTATACAAATGGTACAAATACTCACTTTGTGCCGTCATATAAAACATTTCATTTCAATCTGGAATGTTTGCCGAGTGTTCTTGCATAATTGTCAAGTGTCCTTACCAAGGCTACTTTTTCGCTGGCACCGAGAACATAAACCCCGGCTAAAATAGCACCAACATACACTACATGTACTTGGAATACTGAGTTGATGCACATGCTACATTTCTATATGCAATTTTCGACACACTTTCAAACTTTTTTATCATTGGTTCCGTTGTACTTTTTACAGGCAAGCTAAAATTTACAGCCACTTTCAGAAATAGACGTTTTTGACTATACACACAAGAAAGAATTTTAAAAGGATCTTATGACTACATTCCCCCCCCCCGGAGTATTCAAAGTATCCTCAGAGAGATATTGGCAGATAGAAAAATTACCAATGATACCAAGAAGCTCACACAAATCCAGGAACAACTATTACCAAGAAAATCTTGAGTCAATAATTGCTCCAAATATCACTTTAAAATGAACTGAAAAAAGTATGCGTTAAAAACAAGACAGAACGCACTGTCAGTTTTAACTTGCTTTTAAAAAATCCACTTTAAAAAACGGTGGCGGCGAAATCACACGAAAATTTCAATCAGTTCATGCCCAACTGAACAACTTGGCTTAGTTTGTATCTACTTTTTCTTGTAAGAATCGACTTGTTTTCTGCAAATATGCCTCTATTTTCCAGTTCTGTGCTTTATGTAAATGGTTCTTGACTGAAACCATCTTCTTGAAGCAACGCATGAGCCCATTTATTGCTTTTTAATAATAAACGCAACTGCTTTAATGTAGAGCAATGAAAATCAAAATGTTATCCAACTTAGCACACTTAAATATGACTTTACGAAACCACAACCCTCCATCGAATGAAAGGGTGCAAAACATCTAAGTTTGCTTCCACTGTGTGATTGGCCTACTGTTGTGAAGACACTCAACACCAGTTTGTCTTGGCGAGTTAAAAATGGCTCACACAAGACAGATTCGACTTGCAAGTTTTTCAACAACATAAATATTATTAAACCACTAAAAAATTCCTGATTTCATATTTCATTACAAATCGAGTTGTATGTTTTTGAATCGGTGAAGAACAGAGCAGGCAAGGAAATGAGAGCTGTTGACGGCATGAGGCCATTACTACCTCTTGGAGAACGTGGAATAGCTGGTCGTTCTACTCTCTCCTGGACATTTAAAGATTGGACAAGAAAAGTTTCATAAAGGGACATGGAGAAGAATTCATGCAAAAATCAAAAATAGATTTATTTGAGGTACAGAGCAGCACCTTACAGCACTGCCAAATATCACTGAAAGCAAAGTTTGCCGTATCGATCAACGGGTGACGTTTATTTGTTTACCCGAGATGTGAGCTCCCAGCCTCTGCTGAAGACTCTCCAGCTTCTGGATGTAGTTGGTCAGTGAGGCCTCGGGGTCCCCGCTCCCCGATGCATCCAGGGGTCTATCCAGGGATCTGCTGAAGTGTCTGTCTAGAGGGGAGGCCGAGTGGTACCCTAAGGGCCGGCCGTCTGGGCGTGGGGACGGAGAGGTGGCTCTAAAGGGGCGAAGAAAGTGGGAATGAGAACCAAGTTGAATTAATTCGTGAAGTGACTAAAATTGCATCAGGAGGGGAGTGGCTACGACCAAAAGGAGGGGGGGCTCCCTAAAAGATTCAGGAAAGGGTGCTATGGACCCTTTAGGTCTTACGGCATTCATCAATGGCACATCAACCCCCTCCAAGCTGAGTGATGTTCCTATTGGTTCTTGTCATCTATATCAAGTAGCAGTTGAAAGAACTACGAAAAATGCCAGTTAAAACTTTCAACAACTCTCTCAATTCCCAAAGTATGCAATTCTTACCCGTGGAATAGAACTGGGCTGGAGGATCTGGCCCTGTGGTGTCCACTGGGAAAGACTGTCCGCAACGCCGACTGACCGATGACGTCCCGCACAGGGGGTGACGCACCATTGACGAGATGCATCCCCGTGGGTGGGGAGCTTCTGACTGGGGTAGTAACCCTGATGTTAGGGATGGAGGCTGACGACAGTCCCCGAGGGGGTGGAGAGGACATGACATCTGGGTGGACGGATGGGGTGGTGGAGGGTGTGCCAACACGTGTGGCCCGTCGCCATTTCCGGACCAAGAATTTCAACCTGTTTCCAAGAAAAAACGATTACATTTTTTCCAAGACGTTTTTCCACATGTACGGTTCTTTTGTTTGTAGATGTTTTTTTGACATCCCTTTCTACTCATTCCAATACTGACCTGGACACGGCGATGACTACTCGCACGGCACTTCTGAATCTTGAGAAGGCCTTGCTGTGTCGGGACTGCCTCTCCAGAGATTCAGGGGCTGGGTAGGCACCCATTTTGGCAATGAGTTGCAGCGTCGCTTGCTCGCAGTCTTGGAAACCTCCTAGAAGGAGCAGGAGGTAGCGCTTCTGGTACACCAGGGCCTTGCGGAAGCTCTCTGCCCGCAGGTACTTGCCGTACATCTTCTGCAACTAAGTGATTGTACGGGGGGGGGGAAAACTGATCAGAGTCAACGGTGAGTTATACTCCGGCCACTATGAACAATCCGTCATTGCCAAAGCCACAAGACACCTGATTAAAACAGCCTATAGTTGAAAGCATGTCTAATACAGTGACTTACAACGCTTGGTCCATTGCGACTTAAAAATCTTCAGACTCAAAAAACTTACTACATTTTGATATTTTGAGCAAGTTCTAAAGTAAGACAACCACATAAAATGGTCTCATTTGTAAACTGAACTGCATTGTTGGGGTTAGTGTTCAATTTGCCTGCAAAAAATGAAGGAATTTCAAAGTAAAAGGCTTTTGGCTTCATTGCTGCATTAGAAGGAAGTACCTTCAGCTGTTGGTGCTCAGAGACCTCTCCTGCTCCTGCCAACAGAGGGCCTCCTGCATCTCTCCTATTGGCTTCATGCTGTAGCTGGGCTTTGAGGTGGGCGATCTGGGACTCGGCCTTCTGCAATGCATTCTGGGCTGCTTGTCTCTCCCTGCTCCACAGGGCACGTTCCTCTGCCAAAGCTGTGTCGGTGTTGTCTAAAGAACGACGAGTCGCCTGAGAATTAAAAAAAACCAAAGCACAACACGTTCAGCAGACAAACTTAGTTATCAATCCATTTTGATAATCCTGTCAAGCATTCTACACGAAAATGTATTGTGACAATCTCCTTATGACCTCTGAGGACAAGGTTGACAGGTTGCTAGGGAGGAAGCCATATTGGATTTATTTGTTTGTCATTTCTCACCTCGTCTAGCTGTGCCTCTCGCTGCCTAAACCGCCAGACCTCTTCCTCCAGCTTGGCCAGGGCCGTCCGCATCTCTGTCTTCTCCTCGCTCAGCCGAGAGGCAAAGTTGCTCAGCTCGGCATTCTGGGATAGCAGGCGGTCGTTCAGGCGGGTGGTTGTCGTTGGGGTAACAATAGACGGAACAGACTGAAGGGATGACAGAAAAAGTATGGTTACCGGATTTTTTCAAGTTTTTGTCTTGACAACCAAAACACAATTTTGTCCACATCAATGTTGACATTCGTTTCTCAAATCCACTTCAAGACTTTCAAATTCACCTCTCTTGAAAATGAGACCATCTTGATATAATATAAGATCTGAAAGTAGGTTTCATGCAACTGTTCTACTTCAATGTAAAAAGACGTTGACTTTTGAGTTTTGGTTCAGTACTGGCATTCATTTTTATCACAGGCTCCACTGGTTTAAAGAGCCCCCCTCGAGCCCTGATGGCTTTGTTGGGCTAAAGATCTGAGACGCTAATTTCAAGACAGTCATATGTCCCTTATTCCTTCCGACAGGGCCATTTTGATTGTCGTTTACCTCTGAGTGCAGCGCCAGAGAGGCGTGGAGTTGCTTGAGCTCCGACAGCGTCTCCGTCAGCCCCCGCTGCAGGTTGCCCAACTCCTGCCGGTCGCTCTCCAAGCCCAGCCGCAGCAGCTTGGCGATCTCCTCCTGCTGGCGGACGGCCAGGAGCTGCAATCTCTGCCGGACCGCCTCCAGCTGGGCCTTGTAGAGCTGCAGACGGGACGCCAAGGGGGTAGGGCGGGGACTGCGATGCTGACTGCCTCGCGACAACTCCTGCTGAACAGAGGAGGATTGAGGAGATACTGAAGCATTGGGTAAATTCAACCAGCGACACCTTGTCAACCAGTGGTCAATTTCGACTGGTAACCTATGCATGAAATATATACTAGGTGTCAAGCTAATTCAACCTGTGGTTAACAAATTGTTGCTGATTGGCCATTGATGGCATGCTCTAAGTATACAACAACACTCTCAAATTGAGCTCCCGTGTGGGGTTAATATTAGTATAAACTTCAATAAAGGGGCAAGTTACCACTCAGAACATTTGCAATTTTCAACAAGCAATACCCTGGGTACAGTAAGCATGGGTTACCAGTCAAAATGCCATGAGATGTGCACAGTTTGTGACTGGTCCCCACCACATATCTGCTTTCTACTTTCTGCTCTGCAAATGTCTTCCTGTGCAAAAATGTGAAAGATTTTACATCCCAAAGCCAAAACGTCAAGTCTCAGGTAGAAGACTGGAAGATCTCAAGTCTGATTATACCCCAGATGTTTGCTCAAATTTCAAGATGCATCTTTCACGACATACACAATGATCTGTGAAACCAAGCAATAGTAGGCCTAACATGTTCAGGCAAACTGACCTCCTCATGGGCCTGTTGCAAATCTTCCTCTGTGACCCTTGGGATAAAGTGTCGCTGGGCATCACGGAGCTTCTTGAGCTCGGAGGATGTTGTCTCGTGGGCTGTCTTGTTCTCCTCTAGCTCATGCTCTAAAGACTGGATCTTCTGCCTGTCCAGTTCCCGCTCCAACTGGAAGTCACTCTGGAAAAACGAAACGACCAGAGAAGTCCAGAAGTAACAAAAACGCCCACACTTCAGCCCAAAGTTAACTATCCCCAACCCCAAGTGTATCACTATCTCCCCCACCCTGTCTGGCACCCCATACCTGTCTCTGCCTCTCCAGCTCTCTCTCCCTTTCCCTCTCCCTGTGTCGCTGTCGTTCAATCTGCCTTTCCTTCTCCCGGATAATGTCCTTCTCGCGGCCTTCCTCTTTCTGGCTCAAGAGGGCGCTCTTCAGTCGATCGCATTCCTGCTGAGTCATGGCAACTCGTTCCTGCTCAGCAACAAGTTTGCGATTCAGGTCATCTTGCTGTACCTGTCCAGACAAAGAGAGGAATGAAATTTCTCAAAATCATTCTTCAAGATATAATCATTCAAAAAAAGAACAAATTGTATCTCGTATTAAGAACAAAATTGACCAGGCTTGGTTCCCTGACTCAAACCCATGGAAGGTAATGATATGCTCTGCCTCTACAACTCCTCCAGTCTGTACCTGTAAGCTATCAATGGTGGCCTTCAGCTGCCGGCATACGGCCCTCTCCTCCTCCAAAGCCTCTAAGCTCCGGCTCTTTTCCCGGTCGTTCATGTTCTGAAGCGCTTCCACCTCATTCTCCAGTTGGTTGGCTCGGGTCCGCAGGTCCAGGTTGCGCGACTTCTCGTTGTCCAAGACTGTCTGCAGCTCACCAATAGTGGACTTCTCGTAGTGGGAGTTTTCGGCGTAGGCGCTACGCTCTTGGTCCAATGACTCATGCAGCTGGGTGTTCAAGGCTTGCTCCCGCTGGAAGCAAGAGAGTTTTAAAGTTACCCAAGAATGAAACGTTAGAAAATCTATAGGTTCTCTGAATTCAGGCTGCATTTGAAAAGCTTTGCCAAGGTCAGAATAACACATGCAACAACGGAAGCCAAAGACCAGCAATTGTATAATCTGTCAAAGACACAATCTCACAGTCAGTTGGCGACAAAGACTATAACACATCCTCATCTGACAAGTCCTAATTGATACAGTGGCAAAGATTTTTTTCTGACAAAGTTTCATAAAGCACTCAGCATGCAGAACCTCTTAAATAGGACCAGTGATAGATCAAGCCTCTCTCTTCTGTTTCTACAACTTCCTTACGTGCAGAGCTGCGTGCAGTTCCTGACTTCTGGTTTTCTCAACATCTAGTGCCGTCTTCAGGTCGGACATCTTGGCACGCTCCGTGTCTGCAAGGGTTAGCGACCTGGATTTCTCTGCCTCCAAGTCTCTCTTCAGCCCTTCGGCTCTGATCTTGGCCTTCTCCAGGTCCTTGTGGGTCTCCACCAGCTTGTTGCGTTCGCTCTCCAGGGCTTTCCTCAGCTCCTGTGTGAAGTCAAAACAGTTCCCCCCAAAATTCAGAAAACCATGTCTTCAAACCCCTTCCACACGACAGTCAGATGACTCTTACCTTCTCTGGAATCATTTACTTTGGCATGAGAGCCTTTGGGGATTGTTTTTGAAAGACAACAATGTTATTAGAAGAACCAGCTTTTTTGTAGAAACTCAAATTAAATTTCTTTGGTAATTGAAGGAACCTTACAGACCATTTAATCCCACCCCCCCTACCCCTGGAAAAGGCAAGATGTTACCTGGACCCTATTAGATCTGTGCAATTCCTATAGAGGGCGGTCTACTCAGTATGTGAGGCTTCTATATTGAGCAGTAACTTTGCCCATTATCCCAACTGCAATTGTAGTTCTGCCTCTCACCTTGACCGAGTCCTGCTCTCTCTGCCGGGCCTTGGCCGTACGGCTGCTTTCGCTCTCGAGCGTCTGCTGGAGGTTGTGAACGCTCTGCTGCTCCGAATCCAGGGCCTCCTGCAGACTCCGCGAGTGGGACTTCTCTGACTCTAACTGGGCTCTGGAATAAGAATGACCAAATGGCCACCTTGATCAAATCCGTCACCGAAGGGATGGTATCACATGGCTGATATTTTGCCAGTGCTGAGAGATTAATTTGAAGGCAATGACGCAAGGGGCAAAATTCTTTGCTTAGAAAGCTTCAACATATTTCAGGTTTTTAAGTATAACAAAATGCAAATGAATGAAAAAAAAGAGATTGGGGGACGACGTTGTGGAGAAAATGCTGTGGACACAAAAATGAAAAATCTTGGTTGGCAATCTTTATCCTGAGACCGGCTGTGCAGATTTTGATGGATGTACACACAACAAAATGATTCTCCAACAAGAGATCGTAAGAATGAATGCTTTCCTAAGTTAAAATGAGTGATTTCCCCCATCCACCTGTCCTTGATGCATGAAGAAGCAAATCAGATACCTGCAAATGCTCAATAAAGCTCTACAGCCATTGGCATATGTCTTAGAAATGGCTGTGAATTTATCATTTGCTGCTGAGGTACAGCAAGGGGGACTTTTTCTGTCACTGAATATTCATAAAGTCCATTCTTTTAATCCTAACAATACAGTTTTGTCTTAGAAGGTTCAAGTACAGCAAATTATCAGGTATCTGAGGACATCCACCTTTATACCAGAACAAAAAAGGAAGAACAAATCTGCAGAAAACAGCAGCAGAAAGTAAAGAAAGCAACTTGGTTGTGTGCTACAAATCAAGCAAGGAAAATATCTTGAACCAAGGAATATTTAGATGAAGAACTTGAAGCAAAACACAATGACACCAATACTCAGAAAGCTGAAAAAACTAAGAAAATAATTGAGACGACCAAATATTACAAAACCAAATACAACCGATCCATGCATGCATATCATAAAAGACTACAAAGGACATAAACTGACCATCTTTCATTTTGGGGAAAAAAACAAAGCCTTTTATGAGGCTCAAAACTATAAACACTTCATAACCCACAAAGTGGGCTTATGTTATTTCCATTCCAAGCAATAATGGGTGTGAACTGATTTCCTGAGCTGGAGACAGAAATTTCTAGTTCTGAGCCTCATGCACACTGTGAAACAAAGCGATGTGATCTTCCATGCACATGCACACACACATTATGCAAACAGACTATGCTATTCTGTTGCCATGACAACAAAGCACTAGGTATCCCATGAACACACCTGTGGCATCACCGTTGGCCATTTTGGTGGCTACTGCCAACCTTGGCACAATTACAAACAGATGAACAATACTGACACAAAACATAGACGGCACTGCCTTCAAAACGGCCGCTGTGCCCAGGGATAAAGGTTTTTTCTTTCTAGTTTCCCTGATGTCTGCCTCACTCCAATGTCATCATAGTTTGTTTTTTTTTTTATTGCCACTGACCATAAAATTGCATCTGCTTAATTTTTGCTTCTAGAAGCAAGCGGATGAAATGACATTTGGATATTTTTGTGTTTTCAAAAGAGCAAGCAAGACAAGTAGTTTTATTTCGTTCCTCAATAGCAAATTCCACTGTTAGTCTTACAATGCAGGCCCACAACCCAATTTTCACATGAAATGGTCCATCCACATAAAAACCATCTAAATTCCCCAGGATCCCAAACTGGGAGGGAAAGCCCTTGAATGACTCAGTTAGTTTTTCTCATGCCAAGTTTTCTCTGGAAAAAAAATGATTTTATGTGTTTGTGGGGAAAAAATACATGTTTCATTAGCAGTTTTGTTAGATTTTGGGTTAGTTTTTTTCATGCTTCCAGTGAGAAGTGTAAATGACTTGTAGCACACACTTACAAAACTCCCTCCGCTATGCCGCTGTTGGTGTTGAGGTCAAAGGTCAAAGGTTACCAATCAGGGAAGGGGAAGAAACAATGGCTTGCTATTAATATCAGGAGCCTTGGTCAAATGCTTGAGAAATGTGTCAGTCATAGAGGAATGAATTAGTTTGGGGGAAAATGACGCTTGATGTTTGGAGACTCAAATTGGAACAGGTGAACAAATCTGTGGTTTCAAAAAGCTCCAATTAGAAGATTGAGATGTTACAAACATCACTATTGGGTGTACAGCTCACCACAATCTCCTAGAGGGTAACCTTCACCCCTGTTGCAGATTCTAAAAATGTTCTTTGGGATTAACACCGAACTTGGGCCCCGCAAACTTTTTCGTATACAAGCTTGGCAGCAAAACAGTTCACAGTGCACAACGACATGGGATGATTTGTTCCAAGAACACACCTTGGAAAACTACTGAGGCAAAATAAATCTACATGAGAAATGACTGCACTCGTACCACAGTCCACGTCATCAGGTACGCCGTACTTGAAAGGCTTTGTGGATGTCCAGCATGAAGATTACAGACAGCAACAACCCATGCGGATTCAGACATGCCAATGATGAGGTAATAAGGGGGGGGGCGGGATGATGCAAAGATCAGGGGCAGCATTGGAACCTTTCTAGACCCAAATCAATTTAAAGAAGAAGAAAAAACAAAAAAAAAAAAACAAGTTCCTCCTCAAAAAAACAGATCTTGGTCCAGATCCTGGATGCAGGCAAACATTTCTCAAGGAAGACATCTTTCAGACAGACACAGAACACTGAAACGACAGGGTTCTTACGTGACTTCGGCCAGCTTGGCTTCTATCCTCTCCTTGCTACCGGTCAGCCGATCCAGCTTGATCTGCAGCTCCGACAGCTCGTTCTGCAGTTCCAGGACCTGATTCTTCTCTTTGTTCAAGGCGTCAGCTAGCTGAGCCACCTTCTCCTTCTCCACAATCAGAGATGTCTGCAGGTCCTCCACAAGAATCCTCTCCTGCCGGTACTTATGCTCCATCATTTCAACTAGTACGCCAAAAAAAACCCCACATTTACCATTCTCAATTTGAAAATGTCAGCCCGTGGTGCAAATTTTAAAAAGCTGTTAAGCAGAGAATATTACTTAGTTGAAGCAATGTGTTTCTTTATGAACTAAAGATTGGAAAACCAGTTAAAAGCAATGCACATCAAGTGGCACTTTGGCTGGTTACCATACATGAAACTTAGCAATTGCATGATATTAGCTAATGTTTTCTTCAGATGAGATCTCAATGTTGCAGGTTTCTCCTCAAGGACCACAATTTGTTAACAGCAGCAGAGAGACTGTCCAATCTTACGTTGCCTCTTGAGCTGTCTCTCGCGACTGGTGCCATGCTCCTCCACACTGTTCAGCTGCGAGGTCAGCTTAGCTCGTTGTTCCTGCAGCTCCCCGGCCAGCATCTTGGAGTGCGCCCTCACGTCCTCGATCTCAGCCAGAAGGGAGGAGCGGTCGGCACTGTAGATCTGCTCCAGGGCCGACTTGTGGTGCGCCTCCTGCCAGAAGAGAGAGGAGGAGATTGTGACTCCTTTTCGGCAATTCTTGGTGCTCCGTAAATAGGACAGAATCTTGTTTTTCCACCTGCTCACCTGTTCTCGAATTTTCCTCTCAAGCCGCTGAACCTCAGACAAGTCACGGTCCCCGCTGGAGGTGACATGAGTCCTCAGCTCTGCCAACAGGGCGTCCCTCTCCTGATCAAAGACTGACTGGATGGCTCGGAGAACACGGCCTCGCCAGTCAGACTCTGAAGACGTCTGCGTCTGTTCGCCAATAATAATTGAACATCAGCAAAAGCTTAGAAGAGTGTTTGTCGAGACTTTAAATTTCAAGTTGAGATCTCAAGACTGCACTTGGTTCTAAACACAGGTGTAATCAAATGTAAAATCTCTTACAAACCACTGGAACCAAGCCGTTCATTGGCAATTCCAGAAAAGCTGGGTTCGAACCCATCACCTCCGGGTTACCCTACTAGTGCTCTATGAGGTAAGTCTTTACAGCAATTTTGGCAGATGTCAATCTCTCTATTTGTGCTTAGCTCATCTCAGAAGGCCTGGTCAAGAGGTATCTGGCCTGAGTCTTACCCAATGAGCCTTGGTAGCCTGGCTGATGAGGTCCTTCAGGGCCTGTATGGCATCCAGCAAGGCCTGCTTCTCATTCTCCCAGGCATCCTGCAGAGTGAGGATGTCCGTCCCATCCTGGACCATGGGGCGCGGGGACGTCTGCTGGCGTAGGTACCTCAGATCAGAGAGACTGAGAACCTGTAGTCCCTCGTTGTGAAGTCTGTTCAGGACAGCCTGGACGAAACCCAAAACAAACAGCTTTCATCAACTGCAACAGGTCCTGACTGATTTATATCAAATCTCTCACAATCCATTGATGTCAAGCCGTGTCTGAATCAGTTACTTTGCAATGTTGGCTTTTCCATTAGGATGTTGCAGCCTAAAGTTGTAGCCACAAAGAAAGCCATGTTTCTCAACACTGCTCAACATCAAGGATGCAAATGTTGGATACAACTGCGAACATCTTCAACTCCACAAAACTCTACGATACAAAAACTCCTGTCCTTGCCTGTAACCTCTGTGGGATGTCCCCGCCATTAACGAGTCCCTCTCCGTTGTGAGCAGCGCCCTCTGTTGGCCCTCGTTCCTTGCCCACCCCGGCCTGCCTGGTCTTGAGCTGGCCTACTAGTCTCGAATCCAGCCTCTCTGTGGCTTGCAGCTCTTGGGTCAGTCTGTTGGCTGTGTCTGATGTAAAAAATACTTCATCCTTAAAGTACAAGTTTATCAAGAACACCATCATGACAATTTAACCCCTTCACCTC